AAAGAAAGAAGATGTGGAAAGCTGAAGGAAGTTCTTCAAGTCTTCTATACGCTGTTCTATGTAACTGATTTCTGTTCTTAGAGCAAAGGAAAAACAGAGTAGTTAGCATTCTGTTAGTTCAGTTCAACAAGATTTGTTTCTTCTGTTAGTTTAGTTGTTCAGTTGCATTTTCTGGTATATGAGCTGTTAACTCAAGTGTTAGTTTTGTGGTATGTATATAAACAGCAAGATACACGAGAGTAAAAGTTGAGCTCTCAGATGAAGTTCAAGTTCTTCAACTATAGATTTCTTTTCTTCTTTCTTCCATTTCTCTAGCATTTTTCACATGGTATCAGAGCTATCTCTGAGAGCAAAGCTGTGAACTCTGATCTCATTCGTTGAAGAACGCAACAATGGCAGCAAGAACACCGAGATATCCTTTTCCTATTCATGTCAACATTACTAACTTCGTTACAATCAAGCTTGCTGAAGACAACTTTCTTCTCTGGCAAGCTCAGTTTTATAGATTTCTTCGCAGTCAAGAGCTATTTGGCTTTATCAATGGAGAAATTCCACCACCTCCACAGACAATACTAGCTAAAGTTGACGGGAGAGAGGTCGAAGTAGTCAATCTTGATTACACTGATTGGGTGAAAACCGATCAACTGGTATCTTCATGGATAAGTGGTGCAATTTCTGAGAATATCCTGGGGCTAATCATCAGCCTGGAAACATCCTATGAGGTATGGCAGACTTTGCTGAATAGATTCACACAGAAATCAGTAGCTAGGGAGTTTGTGTTGAGGGGGAAACTACAGGCATGTCAGAAACGAAATACACAGCTATCTGATTATCTTAGAGAGTACAAACTGATTTGTGATCAGTTAAATGCAATAGGAAAACCTGTGGATGAAATAACTAAAATTTTTGGCATCTTGGAAGGACTAGGATCTGAGTATGAAAACTTCAAAACAACCATGTATTGTTTGAAACCTCAACCTGATTATGATGAGGTGATATCACAGCTAGAAAGATTTGAAACAAGACTGCAGAACTATTCCTTGAATCAGTTTAATCCTAACTTGGCATATTACGAAGAAAGAAATGTTGAGATGGAACCGAAGATAGTTACTAGCAAAGAACTTAATCAGCCTAATCTGGCTTTTATGGGACAGAGAGGTAGCTTCAGGGGAGGACGAAACTATGGCAGAGGTCGTTCCTTTGACAATCGAGGTCGTGGTTATGGTTATCAAGGAAGAAGTCAGAATTATAGATCATTTAGTCTGACCCACGATCAGGAGGCTCAGCGTTTTAAACCACAGACTAACACCTATAGTGCAGGTCCTGGTTTTCGACCACATGCTGATTCTTCACAGAGATATCAAGAGACTAAATCTTATCCCACTCAAACCTCTGCAACTTATAAGAATTTACAGGTTGTGAAAGAGACAGATGGAATTCGCGTAGCATGTCAAATCTGCAAACGACCAGGGCACGATGCACTTCGATGTTGGTATCGGTTCGACAATTCTTATCAAGACGAAGCTATTCCTCAAGCTCTAACAGCAACACATCTTGAGGATCCTACAAAGTGCGTGAATGGTATCCCGACACAGAGCCACACTCACATCACTTGCTAATCCCTGGTATAATTCATAACCCCTCAAAGTATACTGGACATGATACTGTCATGATAGGAAATGGATCATGTATTCCTATTACTTACACTGGTAATGCGTTCTTACATTCTGAGCTTGATGTGTTACCATTAAATGATGTACTGGTGGTTCCTGAAATCAAGAAGAACCTTCTTTCAGTTTCAAAACTGACTGATGACTTTCCCTGCTCTTTTGTGTTTGATAAAAATGGTGTCTATGTGAAGGACAATCGCACCAACACCACAGTGATGCTAGGGAGAAAAGTTGGGGGGCTCTATCGAGTGGATCCGCAGGAAACTAAGGCTCTACTTACGCAGAGACATAAGGCAGTCGAAGAAGAAATATGGCATCAACGACTTGCTCATACCAACTCACAGATCTTGAAGCATCTCCAACGACAGCAGAGGATCTGCTGCACTAAGAAAGCACCATCTGTGTGTGGTAGTTGTCAACTTGTCAAAAGTACTTCACTACCTTTTCCCCTTTCTGATTCTGCAACTGAAGTTCCTCTAGAAAGGATACATTGTGATATTTGGGGTCCATCACCAGTGACTTCACTTCAGGGATTCAGATTTTATGTCATCTTTGTTGACAATTTCTCTCACTATAGTTGGCTTTATCCAATGAAGCTGAAGTCAGACTTCTATGATGTTTTTCTTATGTTTCAGAAGTTTGTGGAAAACCAACTTAATCATAAAATCAAAGTTTTTCAATGTGATGGGGGCGGTGAATTCACTAGCACAAAATTTCAGCATCACTTGGAAACTTGTGGTATTAAACAATACTTATCTTGCCCCTACACCCCTGAACAAAATGGGATTTCCGAGAGGAAACATCGTCATATAGTAGAATTAGGCCTGACTATGCTCTACCATGCTAGAACTCCATTACAATATTGGGTTGATTCCTTTTTGACTGCCAATTACATCATTAACTTGCTTCCAACTCCTAAGTTGCAGATGGACTCGCCTCACAGTAGGTTGTTTAAACAAGTACCGAGCTATGATCATCTTAGGGTCTTTGGCTGTGCTTGTTATCCCTGCCTTAGACCCTATGCACAACACAAGTTTGATCCTCGATCCCTTACATGTGTTTTTCTGGGATATAGTGAGCGTCATAAGGGGTATCGCTGTCTAATTCCTACTGATGGTAGAATATATGTCAGTCGACATGTGCAGTTTGATGAATGTTTCTTTCCTTTTACCAAGAAACTAAATAGTGACTATCCTCACTACACTTCTCTGTATCGCAAATGGGTTGATGAGGTAGACTTTCTGGATTCTAACAAGCTGCGTTCCATGCGACACCCTTCTATTTGTACCACTGGTCATTTACAGGAAACTGACGTTATGGAGGTTGGCCATATTCGTGTCCCACATATCACAGAGCCGTGCAACCACATGTCTTTATCATCCTCACAACCTCCTACTAACCATGAGGTCTCAGGATGTTCTGCTCCAGATAATGCAGCACCAATCATTTCTGTTGATGATCCAGCCCATCCAAGTGCTTTTTCCCATCATTCCCATGATACCTCTATTCATCCTATGCAAACTCGACTCAGGTCTGGTATAGCTAAACCAAATCCCAGATATGCTTGCTTAGCTGAATACAATGTTCCAGCTGAACCGAAATCACTTAAATCAGCTCTAGCTCATAAGGGCTGGACTCAAGCAATGCATGAGGAAATGGATGCCCTAGATATGAATCAAACTTGGATATTAGTTCCAAGATCAGCTGAGATGAATATTATAGGTTGTAAGTGGGTGTTTAAAACAAAGTTAGCATCAGATGGAAGTCTTGACAGGTTGAAGGCTCGTTTGGTTGCTAAAGGGTTTCACCAAGAAGAAGGAGTAGACTTTTTTGAAACCTTCAGCCCTGTAGTGAAACAAGCCACACTTCGTATTGTCTTATCAGTGGCTATGGTAAAGCACTGGCCTATTCGTCAACTAGATGTCAAAAATGCCTTTTTACATGGCACACTCACTGAATCTGTCTATATGGAGCAACCCCCTGGTTTTATCAATCCTACTTTGCCTCATCATGTCTGTTTACTCAAGAAATCTTTGTATGGTCTTCGACAGGCTCCACGAGTATGGTTTGAGAAATTCAGCAACTTCCTTCTTGAATTTGGTTTTTTTCTACAGCACCACAGACCCTTCTCTCTTTGTGTTTCATCGCGGCACTAACACAATCTTGTTGCTTCTGTATGTTGATGATATTGTGTTGACTGGTAACTCACATCAGTTGCTTGATGATTTCATCAAATCTCTGAGTATCTCTTTTCACATGAAAGATCTGGGCTCACTTCATTATTTTCTGGGGATAGAAGCCAAACGCACCTCAGTTGACCTTTTTCTCTGCCAAACCAAGTATGCTATTGATCTTCTTACAAGAGCAAACATGCAAGACTGCAAACCTATCACAACTCCACTATCTGTAAGGCCTCTGCACACGACGGACGATGATATCTATCTTGTTAACCCACTTGAATACAGAAGTTTAGTTGGAGGGCTTCAGTATCTCACCATAACTCGCCCAGACCTTACTTATGCTACTAATCTTTTATGTCAGAAAATGCAGCGACCAACAATTGCTGATTTTCATAAACTAAAGCGAGTTCTTCGATATGTTAAGGGCACTGTGAATCTGGGAATCTTCCTACATTCTCAAAGTTCCATGACCTTATATGGTTTCTCCGATGCTGATTGGGCTAGCTGTCTTGATACCCGACGTTCCACAACTGGTTTTTGCACATATCTTGGTTCCAATCTCCTAGCCTTAGTTTATTATTTTATTGCTTCCAACATGGTGTTTGTTCTTTTAAATTAAGAGATGAAGTTCTTGTGTTTGGTTAAAATGATATATGACTTAAGAGGTTACAAAATGTCCGTGAAGTTACCTTACCAAAAAAAAAAATGTCCGTGAAGTTAGGCATGTTTGCCATCTCGTTTCTATTGAGAATGCATGTTTACCATTTGTCGAGCATGCCATAATTATATCCACATTGTCTTAACAAAAACCTCTCTTCGACAAAACAATTATTTCAAATACGTCATCAATTAATTCTTCGAAATTAAAGATATGCAGTTCTCATTTGACTTGGGAGAGTGCAAATTGTCCATGAAATAATGCATGTTTGCCATTTTATTTCTAATGAATATGCATGCTTGCCATTTGTCGAGCTTCTTTTTTCTGATGAAATAATTTCTTGCGCTGAACCCCATTGTCAGGGTGTGTGGGGTTTCACTAAAGTACAAAGAGCGGCCACGGAAAAAAAAAACATTGTTGTTTATAAATAGAAATAACCTAAACACTGTGCAACATCATTTCGAAACGTCAAAAACCATTATACAAGTGAAAATGAAACTTGCATTGTTGTTCCTTATTTTCTTAAGTGTTTCGACGTATGAGACGGCATGCATCTCCGAAGATGATGATCGAGATTTGGAAAGACAAGTTCAGATGATGACCAAGTCACCCATGAAGACATTTGTGGTAATTAATCTTTCAAAATTCTCAGTCATTTTCTTCTTTCGGATTTTATGTTATATTCTATAATCTATCTTGTTCAGAAGCGGTGTTTGTTTGAAAAATGACTGATTATATTTGGTATTCTAATGAAGACCAAGGAAGGAGACACCATCGATTGTGTTGAAATTAACAAGCAACCGGCACTTGATCATCCATTGTTGAAAAACCACAAAATTCAGGTAATAATTTCCTTTTTTCCCCTTCATTATATCAAGGAATAAAATCAGGTTTAGTCAAACAATCATCACTCTTGCATGAACTTGCTCTGCTTGATGATACTACGATCGCCATTTTTGCAGACTGAGCCAAATATAAGCTTCGTTCAATTTCATATTCCTTCAAAGGTTAAATTTGTACAATTCGGTTTGAGACAACCTTGCCCTACCGGCACAATACCAATTCTTCGAGTTAGAAAGGAAGACTTGATAAGGGCAAAATCCGTAGCCATGATGCCATCCTCTATGAGTCAGAATGCTCTTTCTCAACATGTATAGTGCTCTCTCTCTCTCTCTCTCTCTCTCTCTCTCTCTCTCTCTCTCTCTCTCTCTCTCTCTCTCTCTCTCTCTCTCTCTCTCTCTCTCTCAACATTCATTGTGCTCTAGCGCACCCAGACACGCACGTTTACATAGTTCGAGGTTTATGAGATTTTGTTCTATGGAAAGCCTGTAGATAACCTATGAAAAGATTAACGTTCATAGTTTTCATAGGTTGTATACAATGCATGACCTATATTCTTGTCACAGCCACCTCCTATATGCCCAAAATTTCTTGACATAAGAAAATACAGGTCCGCCCTTAAACAAAAATAAAAATACAATTAAAAAATTTGTATTGTCACCCTTCAGAAACTAAACTCTCGATCCAAATTGCATTTGTGATTTTGAAGCATAATCACCGCTAATCCACCATAGTAGAACGAGTCATAAGCAAACGGAAGTTTATTTTTCGTTTTTTGCCCCTTCTACAACTTGATGCAGGTAGTTTCTTTGAGAGACGACATGACAGAAAATATCAAATATGGAGGTTATGGGATAACTAATATCTACAATCTAACCATAGCTCATGATCAAGTCAGCTCACATAACATGTGGATTGAAACAGGTCCCCCCGATCATATAAGTATGATTGCCGCAGGCTGGCAGGTACTTCAATTTGTAGGTATTTATGGAGAAGGTATTGAAATAAAAAAAATATAATATCTTTTGCTTTGACTAGGTTTCTCCACAACTATATGGTGATTCTCGGCCTCGGTTGTTTACATATTGGACGGTTAGTTGGAAGCTTGTTGATTTATGCTCCCAACGGATTTTGAATTTCCAACAATGAAGTTGGAACCTTGGCTTATTTTGTGGACTAAAGCATCATTCCTATAGGGTAATGGCTACCGTAATGGATGTTACAACATGCTCTGTCCAGGTTTTGTCCAGATCCACAGGTCAATAACTCCCGGTTATATATTCGATCGGGCTTCCACTTATGGCGGACGTCAATTTGAGTTTTTTATCCAAATCTTCCAGGTGAGCTTGATTTTAAAAGATTAACCAATTTCAACTTCGGTGAATAATTTTGAACTACACACATGTTGGCTGATTAACACTCTTCGTGACACATGATAAATATTTAAACAATTACAAGTTCCAATCAGTCTTTTCAATCAAAATTGATCGGGGCAGCTAAAAATTATGTGGATATGTCCATTTACTTTCGAGACATAATACCATGAACTATTAGATCTAATTTTTCACCGGCAATCAATTTTCGGATAGATGTGTGAGAGGACATATGCAGGAAGAAAGTTTTTGGGGCACATAAGTTAGGGAAAATTCTGATAAAAAAAAAGTTAGGGAAACACACATGCACACAAAAAAGCGCTTTTGATATGTAAGTTTTTTTCATCCACTTCTTTAAATTTTACTTATCCTTTTTACAATATATAAGCAATTTCTATAGTTGTATATATATGTATATATGTTATCTCAAACTTTTGAACAAGTTATGAAAACTGTTACAAAATTAATGGAACAGTTTAAATTGTTTCATAGTCCATTACCGAATATTTGAAGCTACCTGTATGAAAATTGTAGTTCTTCTGCAACTTAGTAATTCTTAAATTATGAAAATGCTTCCATAACATATAATAATCATACCTCAAACTAAAATAGTTGTGAAAAACTTATCAGTTCCTAAAATTGTTCTCGCCTTCTCTATTGGAGCTATATTCTTTAAGAAAAAAGAGGCATGTGTGTGATAAGCCATAAGATTCATCACAACGTTGGTTCTGCGGCAACGACTGGTTTAGTTTAAGTTTGATCGAAAAGCAAATATGTATGTTTATTCGAGACTTTATATGTCTAACAGATATAGCAATTTAAATATAGTCGCAAATTAGCAACTAGTCTTAAAGTAGAGCAAAGTGATACATTCTTGGACCTCGAAGCCAATGTATGCTTGTATCAGAGATTTCGGAGACACTCGAGTAGCGAGATTTCCCCATCCAACGTTGCAGAATCTATCTTTTTAACTTTTTAGAATTAATGAAATTAATCTCAAATGTGTGTAAGAACTCATGGACATTTTTGCTTGTACGCAGGATCCAAGTAAAAAGAATTGGTGGCTGACTGTTGGTAATGAAGGGGTTACAATTGGTTATTGGCCGAGTGAATTGTTCTTATATTTACGCGATGGTGCACTTCATACGGCTTGGGGAGGAGTGGGTGTGGCTGGGAGAGACGGAGTTTGTCCTCCTATGGGAAGTGGTCATAAGCCTGATGGTAGTTACAGCCACGCCGAGTACTTTCGACAACTTAATTGGATCGACGCAAAGGGTGATTTTCAACGTCCTTCAACAAAAACAACCGAATGGGTGGATAAATCCAAAGTCTATGATTTGAAGAACTATCGCCATGTTAAATTTCACAAATTCGACTATTGGATTAGTTTTGGTGGTCCGGGAGGATATTGTGAGGGAGGGAGGGCTGGTTAGTAACGAGGAGCTATCTTGAGCAATTCAATAACCGAGGCTTTCGACTTTGAAACTAAACGTTTTAGTTTTTAATAAGTGTTGATCTTTTTTTTTTTGGTCAGAAATAAGTGTTGATCTTTATCTTCCTTTTCGTTGAGGTTGCGGTTGGAATGTGAGGGGTGAATTTTCATAAGCAAAGGTGCGCCAGTCAAATGGGTGAGTCTGATCAGGTTTGGGTTGGCTCGAAAATTGTCTGACCTGAATTGACCCATTCAATCCGTTTAACCCATTTCCATGCAATGTAAATATAGTGACACATACCTTACCCGATTCATAACCGACATGACCCATATTACTAAAACACTTACATATTTAACCCAATATAGGAAAACTCATACCCAAACTGAGGTGAGAGCACGGAGTGAGCGAACACAAGATCGAGCGAGGGTGAGAGAGAGTGAAGAAAGATTCATAAAGATGGATTGGGTTTAATTAAGTTATGAACTCATTTAACATCTATATTCATTTGTGCTTGACCATTTTAAACTCATATAAGTCCCTTATACTATATAAAATTATATCGATCTTCCTTATGGGATCGAGGAATGACGGGTTCAGAGGTAATGCCCAAAAGGCGGGCCGACAGCCCTCGATTAGGCATGGGCTCTCCCAAGTCCCTGCCTCACGCAATGTTGGAATTCATTTCAAGTTCCAAAGACTTTATGTGAATTGAGAGTCTTCACTAGCCTATTAGGCCGATTGAGAAGCCAAGCGAGGTACGAGAGTAAATTCACTACCTACGCAACTAGAGATTCAAGTACGAAGACTTGGTTATACTAGTTATTGAACTAAAGCCCTTTCGGTACCTAAACTTGAGTATTTGTCAACTAAGTGATCCATGCAGTCTTTTCATTTTACATTCCGCTTACGTGTTCATATGCAATCGAGCTCAACATAGCTAATCATAATTACATATATCCACACTTAAACAATTAAAATGAAAGCACAAAAGATCCAAGTATGAAGATATCGAAATAAGTAAAGTGCGGTAGGTAAAACCCGATACGAGTCGGGCAAAAAATATACATGGCCTTGTTAAACAATTAAAATGAAAGCACAGAAGATCCAAGTATGACGATATCGAAATAAGTAAAGTGCGGTAGGTAAAACCCGATATAAGTCGGGCAAAAAATATACATGGCCTTGCTATAGAGCCCTAGGCCAGGGTCCCTCAGGAGCTAAATAAAAACTTAAATATGCATGAAATTACTCTAATTGTGTGAACTACATTAGATAATTCTAATATATTACTCTAGTTACCAAAAATGATTATTCATAAAATGCCAAAAATACGCTAAATCAGGAGAATGACTTTAGAAAAATGAGGAAAGTTCCAAAAATGTCATTTCTTCCCTAATTTAACACTAGCCTGCAATTTTTTTTTTGAAAAATTTACAAATTTTCTTTTTTTAAAAAATAATTTTAAATCAATAAACCGAACTATGTTTGATAACTCAGGACATGGATATCACATTAATCAAGCTCGAATCAACATTTTCAAGATTGAAAATCAGTTTGGGCATTTCGTCGAACACGTGGTGCGCATTAGACTACCCCGATCAGTCATGTTCATGGCCTTTAATCTTGATCCGTAAGCAACCTTAACCTCAAATAAGGCATCAGGGTTATACTAAAACATTTAGGGAGCAATATTAACTAGAAATAAGTGTGGCGACCTTCCCTCGAGAGAACCACCTAGGGGATGACTAATGTGGGATTACTAAGTTCAAAGACTTAGCTCGGACTCTCCCAAGCTCATACTGATTCACAACTTTCGGATTAATTAATATGCAAAATCAATTTTTTTAGAAATCGCAACTAATCAGTCGTTGGTGGGTCAATTAGATACCCAAGTAAAGTATGGGATAATATGATAGGGATAAGGGCTGAACATATAGTATAAGAAAATTACTCCTAATTAATGCCCATGAGTTATAACCTACTTATATTATGAAACAAGTTCCCTTGCCTATGCTTCAAATGGATTTTTTTCGAAGTCAATCATATTATGGATGATATATATGATAACAACTTTAAATAATGTGATTGAATGTAGGTATGAACTTTAAAAAAGAAAAAGAATCTTAGATCCACTATATCAAAACTTCATTCGGTTTTGGCTAACGATAATACCGCGAAAGCAAACTGAAAACGATTAATGATTCAAATTATCTTGGTTCACATGATCTTGTTGGGAGCGTGTAGTAGAAGTCTGATACCTTTAGCCGGGGAGATCCCCAAGAGAGAGCCTAAATTCGAGTTCGTCAACATATTCAGCTAGATCCATCTTTACTCAAAAGCTTAAGATAATGAATCATGGGCCAACTAGGATATATTAACTGCTCTACATCACTTCAATTCTCCAATGCAGGATTTCTCTAACACAACTCACATGTGCATCTTAACAATCTTCATTTCACGTGTGTGCTTAGTGTTAGGCGGCTTGCTTTCCCTTAGTCTAGGTATCCTTTTGCATCAAAATATGAAGTCTACCATCGAGCTTGCATTGTTATGCAACAACGATCATCGCTTAGAAATCATGCCCAACTTCATTGACCATCGGCTCACTGTGGAGTGTGATAGTCTCCATTTTCACACATACCAGTAATTCCTAAAAAATCACTTGTCTATTTTCTAGGGATAGCTCGAAGAGAATTCGTGAGCGTGGGGTTACCACTAAGTTAGTACTCATTTATCTTTCAGGTTTTAGGGGGAAAATTATTAAACATGCAAAATAATCCTATTTCAAGACGACTAAGGATATTTTAGATGAAAATGCAACTATTTAGACTACCTATTTTTTTTAAATTGTTGTTATCATGATCTATATTTTGGGGTACAGGTAAATTTACCCAAATGTATCTCCTTATTAAAATAGTCGACAATCAACAATCAATGGAGCATATTGAGATTAAGTCATATCCCAAAAGTAGGAGTGTCAATGGGTCGGGTCGGGTCGGGTTTTCATGATACCCAACCCGACCCGAAACAATGAATATATGTATTTGGCCCGACCCGAAACAAGACCCGAACATGATATAGCTGCACAATCGGGTCGGGTTCGGGTCGGGTCGGGTCGGTTCGGGTCGTGTTTTAGATTTTTATTATAAATTAAGGTTAAGTTACACCTAGGGGTGTCAATGGGTCGGGTTGGGTCTAGTCTCCACGCTACCCGACTCGACCCGAATCATAAAAGATATATGGACTCTTGACCCGAACCAAACATGACGTGAAACGCAAAACCGGGTCGGGCCGGGTCGGGTTGCTGAGACGATGCACGACGACCACCGCCGCCGCTAGAATCTCTCTCTCTCTGGCGCAGCGCATTTGCTTTCAATGGCGGTCCATCCTCACGAGCAGGTGAAGTCGCGCTTCGTCTCTCCATCCCGCGTCTTGCACCACATTGTCTGTATTTCGCAGCATTGCGTTCTATTCGCGGCTGAGCTTGATCTTGATCTTGATCGAACGATTCGACGGTTCTTTTTCTGGGAATTTCCGCTCGTTCTGTGCGTACCTTTTGAAGTTGTGATGATATATAGTGTTGGGTGTTGAAAGAATTTGACAAAAGGCCTGAACTTTGTCATTGTTTTGGTAAAATTTGAAGTCTGGATGTTTGTGCGAGAGGCTTGAGGGGGGTGCGCGTGCTTGACTGAGCTTGAAAATGGGAAGATGCAAAGTGGAAATTTTGGCGGAGAAATTTGTTGCCTACTCCTCCTCCCCCTCCTTGCTGTGCGCTGGTGATCTCTGATGTGTTCCCAGTACATATGTCTAGATACTGTAGCGAGTGCCGGTTATTTGGTCCGTGTGTTAAGCGTCGCCCGCATCCTGACAGGAGAGTTTTTCGACAGGAAAGAGCGTGCTTCCCGGTGGTTGCGGATGCAAGCGATGATCTTCCCACCGGTTTTCAGTGCTTCCACGCGCTAGATTCGATTATTGAGGAAGACAGCCAACATTGTCAGTTGAGTAATTTAGCTTCAGACACATCATGTAAGGAGGACGAAGTTGAACGACAGTGCTACAAAGTGAAATGTGTTTCAGTTCTAAAAATAAAAAATAAAAAATAAAAAAATATGTGTTTCGGTTCGGTTCGGTTCGGTTCGTGTTCTAAACACGAACCAAACCGAAACCATTGAGATACCCATTTGCTTAGCTAATACCCGAACATGAAGTTGACCTGACCCGAAAATACCCAAAACTTCGGGTCGGGTTGGGTCGGTTCGTGTTTCGGTTCGGGTATATTGTTTGGTTTTGACACCCCTACCCAAAAGAATATTCTGAGTTCACCAAAAAAATGTGAAAAATCATACACATTTTCTATCTCTTCTCGCTCTACCTCTCTGCCCACCTGATCCATCACGGCGGCTGTCATTAAAGCCATCATGGGCCACAGAGATGACCACTGCCGCAGTCACCATGTGGCTCAGCCCTTGCCCCGCAGTCACCATGGTGGTCACTACGGTGGTTAGAACTGGGGACAATGGTGGTCTTAGCTTAATGTTGTAGTGGGTGGAGGGAAAAGATGAGAAAGAAAAAGGAAAAAGAAATAAGGAACAATTACTGAATTATAGCTTAAAGTCACGAAAACATTATGTGTCGATTATGTAAAAAAGAGTAAATTTACTCTAATCTTGTTAAAGTCAAGAAGACACCCATTTTATTAGAATGAGTCTAAAAATAATTTTGTATTTGCACTGAATTTTTGGGCTTCCCTCTTATTTTGTCACTGACTAGCCTTATTTTCAAGAGATTGGCGCTTTTAGAGAGCAATAGGGAGTTTGTAGTGTGTACACTTCAGCAATAGTACACTTGGGAGTTAAGACTCAATTTCATGCGTACAGGTTAGTTCAAAATAAGGCTTCATGAGAACCCACGTAAACTAAAAGGAAAAGTAGTTAAATTATTCATCTTTTGTAGATTCCAACCGCAGAATAGTCTTATGAGCATCAACTGCATGTCAAGGC